GATGAAGTTGAATACTACACTCTGCAATGCGATGTGGAAGCAAAGGCAAAGTGTGAATTTTTGCACGACCCACAGGAGTGGAAGGTGGTGGACATGGAGCCTGTGTAGCATTCGAACATGATTTGTCTTCAGTGCAATCGATCTTCTTGGGAGAATCTTCTGGATGTTATGCTGAAGGACCGAACGTACGCTGGCAACCTATTTTGTTCATTCACTTTTTATATTGATTGCATAAATGTATAACTTGCTTGCTGAAGGACCGACCCTATCCTGGCATGTATAACTTGCTCTTTTTTGATTGTCAAGTATAGTGGATCATGGCAGAAGAAGTTGTTGGAGCAGCTGGCTGTGCATGGGGTAACTGGCTTGAAAGAGAGACACAATCAAGGAGATCATGAGCAAGTTGGCCTACAAGATCCAATCTTTGTGGACCTGGTCCACCAGGTTTGGTCACGGAAGCAGAACGAAGCAGATCAGCTCAAGAAAGACTTATTCAAGTCTGACCTGGGAAATGATGTTGACCAAGATGTCATGGAATATATTGATGAAGAAGAAAAGAGTTTAATCAGGTGAGAGAAGCTGCCAAGCGCAGAATCAAGGAAACAAACACCATGCTTCATGATCAGATAGTAGAAGCTAGGGCTAAGCATGAAGTCAAGAAAAGAAAGCCGGCGACAAAGTCAGACAAGAATCAGAAAGGCTCCAAGAAGGGAAAGCCTGTGCCCTTGTCAAAGAAAGAAGAACAGAAAAACAAGAAGCTCAGTGGCACAGAGATTTGCAAACGAGCCAAACGACTTGCAATTGATTGTGACTTGCAAATTGTCGCTGCAGTGGAAGCACCTGCTGCTGAGACGTCGCATGCTAGCACAGTGCCTGCTGATCTGCCATCGCAATTGTCTGCTGATCAGCCTTTGCTGGAGGGCACTGAGCCTGCTGCTGATCAGCCTTTACTGGAGGGAACTTTGCTGGAGGGCACTGTGCCTGCTGCTGATCAGCCTTTGCTGGAGGGCACTGTGCTCTCAGAGTCAGAGGGCAGTGCCTGACCCCAACCAGCTGCTGGGTCAAGGGCCGCCGGCCAAAAAGCAGAAGTTGACTGAAACGAAGTTGATCGGTCATATTGATGATGATACTTCTTTGCGTGAACTTCAAAGTCTTGATCTTGAAGAGCCTGATTGGCGTGCTTCGTCATCATCAACTCAAAGACCCGGTCTAAAGCTCATCAGTGAGGCTCCCGAGCTGAAGGAAGCAAGGCGAAAGACTCAGACTGAAGGTTCTGAAGCAACAACAGTGGCCCCCAGCCACCGTGGGCCAATTCAACCAAAGAAAGGAGTCACCCAATGGGAGACAGTGAAATGTGATAAATGTGGCAAAGTTGTTGGTCAGTACAAAAAGGATCCAAGCCAAGGTTCCCAAGACAAAGCAACTTGCTATTACAGGGTCCATGCCCACGAAGTTGGAGGTGCCTTGGTTTCACAAGCAAGTTGTCTTTGAGGTACTGACATGTTTATCTTTTTCGTTGATTGTCTTATGAATATGGTTTCATGATGAGTTCAGGTGACTGGGCAACACGCGCGCCGTACAAGGGATCATCCACAAGGGTTGATGAGAAGGGCGCGTTGGATTGGATCTGCAAACACAAGAAATGTGGCTGTAAGTGAAAAAAGGTATGTGCTGAGCTGCTGCACTGTGCTTAAAGATTCGCATTTGGTTTATCATTTTGCAAGGCACATGTTTTGATGGTATTGTGATCTTAACAGTCAAGTTGAGCGTTCAAACTTGTCCTTAGTATGTGTTGAGCTGCTGCACTGATTCGCATTTGATTTTTTATTTTTGCAAGGTGTACGTTGTGATGGTAATTTGATCTTAGCAGCCAAGTTGAGCACTCAAACTTGTTCCTGTTTATGATGGAAGTCATGGCAATCATGATGGTGACATTTAGTGTGGCTTTTGCAATCATCATGGTGGTGATTCACTTATTCAATTCCTGTTCCACCAACATCGTTTACAATGAGGTTTATTTGATGAACCGAGTGCTGTTGGCAAAGTGCAGTTGTCTGATGATGATGATGATGACTCTGACTCTAAAAGCTGCATTTCTTGGAATTCCGATGATTCCGATATGTCGTCATCACATTGGGGCGCTGAGTCAAAACCTGGCATTGAAAGAGTCCGGCCCAGACGCCTGTTCTCTCAATTGCGTGAGCTTGAAAAGATTGATAGAGAAGCCTTTCGGGTGTTCTTTGAAGTCAGTGAAGCAGTTACTAATCAGAGTCGAAGCTGAAGGGCACTGTGCCAAACTCTTCATTTGGGTGTCAAATTAGCAGACATGTTTTGTGATGGAGACTGGGCACAAGTTCCATGTCTGCTTTGCTGAATTAATTCTGATTCAGGTTGTTCACAGTTGTTGGGCAAGTTGGCACAAAAAAAGGTTGTTTGCGACCTGTGATAGTCCTTGATAGTTTCAGTCGTGTTTGCTATGATTCCATGTCATGGGACTCAGACGCGCAGCACAGTAAACTGAATAGTGCACCTCGTTCGTGCCAGCCAGGTGAATCATCATGAAGATCAAAAATGGATGACCATGACTTGTTTGATGAGGTTGATGCTGATTGAGCTGAATGTCTTGTCACGTATTGTCAATTTTAACCTGGACTAAAAATTGTGCCCTACTGCATGTTTGACTGAGTTTGATGTTGTTTGCAAGGGTTGGAATCCCTGCCAGCACAGTGCTCTTCAGCCAAAAACTGTCTAGAATTTGACTAGATTCAATAACTATTATTCAATGCTTGCCAGCACAGTCAAAGCTTGACTACTTTCAACAAATAAATACTGTTCAATGACTAGACTAGTTGCAAAAACCTTACTTTGTCACAACCCCTGCCAGCACAGTGCTCTTCAGCCTAAATTCAAAACTTACTAAGCAAGTTAGTTCAAGAACGTTCAACGAGGCCAGGAGTGATTTATGGTTAAGGAACCGTGTGTACTTAGTACATTTTTCATTGTTTTTTGTAGGTTGACTTGTTGCTCAGCTCGTCAACTTATCGTATAAGGCTATGTTGAACTTTCATTTTGTCTGCAAGTTCACCGCAACTTCACTCGTGGCTTCACTCGTGGATGTACCCGTGAAAACACTTTTGGTTCACTCATACTTTTACCCCTTGGTGAATTTTGTTCAAAATCAGGTCTAATCACTTTTGAGTCATGTTTGCTCTTTTTGAATAATTGCTAATCATTTTAGATCTTATTTGTGACAAGTTTATGCTTAAAACATGATTCAAAAAGATCAAAACAATTTCAAAAATGCAAAATAAGACTCGCCAGACTCGCCCAAAAGCCTCGCCGGTAAGACCGCCCACTTTGATTTGGTGATTCTCGGTTGGCCGATTCAACCGGCAGTTTCCCGGTTGGCCGGTTAAACCGGCGGTTGACATGCATGGTTGATCGGTTCAACCGGCAGGTTTCCGGTTGGCCGGTTCAACAGGCAGTCTCCCGGTTGCCCGGTTGAACCGCCGGTTGAGCCGGCCAACCGGGAAACCGCCGGATGAGCCGGCCAACCGGGAAACCGCCGGTTCAACCGGCCAACCGGATCAACCGCCGGTTGAACCGGCCAACCGGGAAACCGCCGGTTGACCCGGCCAACCGAGAAACCGCCGGCTGAACCGGAGGTTTCCCGGTTGCCCGGTTGAGCCGAGGCGGCTCAGGCGCCTCATCATAGAGCAAGTACATGACGCTCAGGACTCGCTCCCACTTCGCTACTTCCTCCCACTCCTTGGCATCGACCACGAAGCGCTTCTCGTCCACCCGCCGTAGCTGGGACACGCCACTGCTGCGGCCCGCATCGCCGGCACCGGCCGCGCCGTCGCGGCGGTAGAAGTCGGTGCCCCAGAAGACTTGACCCCTGCCAGGGGGGGCAGAAAAATGTCAACTCCAAGTGGGGTCAAACCTCCACGAGTGGGGTTGATGTTGAATCCCCGAACAGAATTGGACGTTCCCGGCGTCAACCTGCCATGGGCTGACCTCTTGGCTGTATGTATATACTGTTCACATGTTTTGACACCAAGGTCGGACTCTGCAAATCTTCGAGGTAGACCATAAACCTGAATCCAAAGAAGAACATGGGCAGTCGTTCCATCAGTCGAAGCCTCTCGAAGACTAACTGGCGACACCACCAGCGGGAACAAGACTTCTTCCGGCCGTGGGAGACTGTTCTGCCGGTCGGCCATAGGGGCATCTCACCATAAGGGGCGACCACCCAAGATGTTTGACCCCGAATCGAAGAACCAAAAAACCGTGGCTAGAGTCGCCCTATTTCACTCCTACGCACCCATCAAAAGTCCTCGTCATGCGTTCGTCGCGTTCGTCCTCTTTCATCAAATGACATCCCTGTTGCTAGCAGCTGGGCCGCTGGACCGCATGTCTTTAAGAAACTGTGCTCACCAGTTTCGGATCTTTGGCGATAAACAGACTTCAAAAAGGCCCCTCTTCCTTTCATCCGGCCCCATGGCCCTGCACAAACTCTTAGTTTTTTCCAGATCATCCTTGTCAACAATTGTTTCATGTTCTGTCCATCTATTTTTCATATTCTGTCCATCTACCAGGCTAATGAACCCTTTGTTCCTCACTGTCCCGTACCTGCCTCGAGATAATAACCGTCCTCCGCCCGACAGTGCCCGCAACGCCGATGCCCGCTTCCGTTTCGGCGATCTGCCAAAGGCCATCCCAGCTGTCGGACGGCTGTCCTTCCGTTGAACGTACCGGCAAGCAGGAGGTGTGGGAGGTAGGTTGTTATTGTGCAGAATGCAGGTGGTGTGCACGCTTCACCTGAAATAACAAGTCAAAATCATTCCCGATGTTGAGCCTGTAACGTTTTTTTACTTTGAAACTTCTCGTGGTGTGAGCGCAAGCTACAAAACAAGCTGTCGGTAGGAAAGCTAAGCAACAGGTAGCAAAGCAAACATTGGAGCGGGAGGCTCGGCCTCTCAGCTCAGCATCTAGCATCTAGCCTATAAAAGTATGATAATGTGTACAATTCTTCAACTGTGGCCTTTCTTGTCACGTGAACATGAAGAGTCTTGGACAGCCATGGGGTTCATTCAGTCACATTCCCACCATAGTAAGCGCGGCACTTCAAAGTGGCTCTCCCTAGCACGCATCCAGGTGGTTCCTCACGCTGTGTCACTGACGCACCATAAAACAAAGAAAGATTATCTGCGGCAGAGCTTCAGGCTGCATAATATTGAGGTTGACTCAGTCGCATTCTTGTACAACCAGAGGCTCTCCTGCAATTGTTGTTTCCTTTGCTTTGGTGGTGTCAGCCCACCGGCAGGGTGGTGGTGCCTCTGCAGTCTCTGAGCGGGCTTTGGCATGTTCTATCCTGGAAGCGCCGCCGCAAATGGCGGCCCGCGTGCAAAACCCACCAGTGGAGCAGTGTCTGCGCCTGTCCTGATCCTTCAACACGTCTCAAGTCTAACTTCAAGATCCAACTCAAGAACTACAACTAAAGAAGCCAGATTCAGTCTCGCCGGCGTCGGCGAATCCGAAGCAACCTGCTCGATCATGCTCCGTCGACCCAGAATAAGACCGAATCGCGTCCTTCAACTCACGCTCAAACCCTCCTCCTTCACGCGTTGGAAAGCAGCCAATGGATAATGGAACGCTTCCGCGGCTTTCGGAGCAAACTTGCAACTTCAACGACTCTGTCGAGCCGCGCATGTCGAAATTTTGAGTATCCCAGTCTCGGCCGCCCAGTCGAAATCTGCAGAACACATGCTTGTCTCTCTCCACCGGCAGCAGGCGTTCATCTCCGCTTCAGGCGGATGACGATGGAGGACTCTCCATTGCTCCTGTGGTTTCTTCTCCTGAAACGAGCACCTGTAGGCCACTGTAGGCTATGTTGATTGGGTACCATCCTGTCCTGACTTTGGCCCATCCAAGGCCTCTTCGATGGAGCTGGCCACTTCACGACTTCGACTCCTTGCTACAAGATGATCAAAGCCTTTGCAATTTCCTCACGCGTCGGTGATGGCCTTGTGCTGGGAGACAGGAAGCGCTTGCCATCCCTCGCCAGAAGATGGAGGCCCATGGAGTTCACCTCCTCACAACGCCAACGACAATATGCTACAGCTGCTGGACATGCTGACAGCAATCCTGCCAGAAGCTTCAATGCTCAACAAGACCAAGTCCCTGGTGAAGGCACCTGCCCTCACTGCGCTGAAGAGTTTCTTTCTTTGGCGGTTGAAGCGCCACATAGATGGCGGCCGCTGCCAGGCCATCATTCTGTCATTGTTTCTGGTCTGAATGGTGGCACGTTCGATCACTTGATGGGATACAAGTCGCTGATGAGAAGATAAGGTCAGATCTGCAGGTTTTGCAATCACCTCTCTCAATCCCCGACCACGTCCCAAACACATCAACAAAGAGCACAGTGACCTGACACGTTACGCAGAATTGCTACAATACTGAAGAAGCCCTTCGAAACTCTAGCTGCGCTTGCACAAGACCTATCAAAGGTGACCACGTCTGCACTGCGCACTCTCAGCTAGCATTTTTGCGCACAGCATGTGTGGGGAAGCGGTTGACCCTCAGACCCTCTGTGGCATCATCATGTCAAACATTGCAACAGGGGCGCCCTATACTACCAATCCTCAAAGCGCCAAAACCTGCTTTGTTTGTCATCTTCATGACTCTGCAGCCGTTGAATGCTGTGTACTTCTCCAGATCTCAGCCCTGCCTGTGATCCTTCAAGAAGGCGGACCCTCGAAGAGGCCAAGGTCCACCACGTTGAACATGGCGCCCAACAAGAAAGGGAAGGGAAAAGGCAAAGGACAGGTCCACGCGGACCAAGCTCATGGCGGAGTGGAAATCCACTTCCTGTTGCCCACACTGAATCCCCACTTCCTCAGCTGCAAATGGCAATCACGAATGGAGGATGACGAAGGTAACGTGAAGAGCATAGATACTGGCGACCATGGTGGCTGTCCACTCAGATTGCACATCTGCATAATCAGGTGGGCATGCAGCAGCTCCTGACAGACTGGTCCATGGGATCTTATGGACTTCATGCCTTGGTTGGCTATGGCGACCTCACGCGCATCCAGATGGACAGATTCGATGACTCAGGAGGTAAGTGGAAAAGCAAGCTCACACGGTCCAATAAGTTTTGCCTTGGGGCATCTTGGGCTGGACTACACCCCTCACACAGTGGTGGCTTTGTCATGGCATCTTGGTGAAGAAGCCCACTCGGGACACTACTGCACTGCCATCAAAGAGGGCAACCAATGGTAGCTACATGATGACCGTCAACGACCTTCCCGCATATATCTATCAGACATCATCCTGATGAACGTCTGGCGTGTGATCCTCATGGTGGAGCACAACCCGTCACCTTGGATGATGATAGCATGGCTGCAACGAAGCCGCTGCCATCCATGGAGCAGATGATGCAGAACATCAGGACTGATCCTACAACACAGAATATGGAAGAGCGACTGGCCCATTGCAGTTGACCCGATGGACACACACACACATCCTCTGGCAACATGCTGACCTGTGCCACCGACTATGAACACATTGCATTGCTTGCAATGAGGCGCCGAAGGATATCCTACAGCGCCACGCAGGCCTACGGCAAGAGTCTGAATCACTGGCTGAAACATCAATGGCGGCCTACGCAAAGCTAATGCTGGACGCAAAGAAGCCTTGCACCTGCTACCCCTTCCATGCCACTACGGAAGCCACGAATTTTGAAGACCACACATGCCCATGTCACCGACAGTGGGCAATGATTCATTTGTTGCGGCGGCGGCAACAGCGAGCCATGGCCTCAAAGGCATTGACACTTGGCGAGCTGTTGCATGCTTGGGCCTAAGGTACCACGGTACAGTGGAGCGGACCACAACACAAAGAATCGCAGGAACGCAGCGCGTTGCACTCCAACCCGTTCCGCCGTGTTGGGCCAAAAAACCGGACCCAACCCCGAAACCAACGGCTTTGGAAACGAATCTGGACGTAATGCCGGTGGTCCTGTCTGGTCTTTTTGGTACCTCAGGGTCGGGCGAGACACTTTAGCTTGAGTGACCTATTTCTTTAGTGCCAATTTGCGCCAACTATTCGCACGGTTCGTCCCACGCAGTACTGGTATACGTCCCAAAAGCACACCCAGGGCATGTTGATGAAAATTCAATGCATGTTACTGCAATTCCCCTGTCAGAACTTACAAACAGGTTGCAATTGCAATGTGTACGCTTGCCTGTGAGTTTGGGGTCTGTGAACAAGTTATGTTTCCTTTCTTCACGCATCATCAAATAGCTCCGTGTGAGATGCTGATGGTGATCTTGATTAGCAGGCAAGCATACCACAAAAATGACTCAGTAATTCTGGCAGCCATGCTATGAAACTCAGTAACTCTTTTATACACAATTTCCCGGGCAAAAACGCATCGGGCGAGCAGCTCATCGAGGTAGTATCCAAGCCCCTCCTCGCCCAGCTTGAAGGCATAACCTTTGCTGCATCTGAGACCATCGCTTCAATTCGGTTTATTGGTGATGAGGGGGGGTAGGCTACTAGTAGCCTAGGAGCTGGAATACAGGAAAGCTCAGGCTGAGAAACAGCTTTGCTGGGGATTTGAAACATGCTTATTGGACCTCACCTTTGGGCGCTTATTCTCGACATACATCAACACTGCGGCGACACACTGTGGTGTCACTTCCTGGACAAACCCGGCCTTCTTTGACGCCCTCAAACTTCTCTGACTTGAAGAAGCCGGCATTTCGAACCAGGATGAGATCCAGTTTGCTCTCCAAAGGACCTGGCCGAGGAACATGCTGCACTTGTGAAGAAGAAGGCGCACCAGAGAAATATCAGAAAATGAAGGCACAAAAGGTAAAGTTAGATCCCTTTTCTCACCCAACAAAATACCGCCATTTGGTACAACCAAACCCATGTCGGATGAAGCTGAAAGATCTACCCTCCCTCCAACAATCCTGGAAGCAGGTCGCAGAACCCCCTTCTAGAGGAAACTTGGTCTTCCAGGCGCCGAACCGTTCGACTGCCATGCTTAATCTACAGGGAGGGGTTCGAATCTAGTAGTCCTTCACCAATCCAAGGTTTTTCGGCGCGACATGAACATCTCCTCTCACAACTGTGCAAGCGCCACCCAGGTCCGCCACAGCTTGCTCGTCCGTCAGTTGGGCGAAATCACCTCGGTCACCAGAGAAGGGCACACAAAAAACACTGAGCGAGGGCGTTCAGGTGCCAGTTTTCCTTGTCAGGGTTAGGAGCAGTGTTCTTTGTCAGGGTTTGCCACCTGTTCCCAGTTCACCTATCAAAACCTGGTTGATCGATGGTTGAAATCTCCACTACTGTAAACAATCCATTTGGATCCATTTGGTTGTAGCTCAAGTGCCCGCGTCATCGCGAAGCTGCACGTAATTATTAAGTGATGTTTGGAGGACACCCCGGTGGACCGGGTTCAACGGATGCTTTCTTTGACAGTGGTCAAGCCAAGAGCATCATTCCCAACAACCCCAGCGACTTCTGGAATGTAATGGTGTTTCTGCTGGCGATGTGGAGCAGGTCAAAAGCTGCCAAATGATGTGGATTCACCTCAACAGGACTGTGAAATAGTATGTTCAATTGTGTGACTGCCACAGCCATCCTGGCACAGATTCCGGATTCTTGCCCCCGCCTGGCACGAGCAGCTGCAGCTGTCGTGGATTAGTCCCATCTTGCTGCGAGACCTTCTGCTTCAATTCACCTGAGCAAGCGCTGCGAGAAGCCATGGGAGGCAGCAAGAGCAAGGTCATGCAACGCGCAACAGGTCAAGCAACTACCATTCTCCTCTCGGATCCAAATCCTTCTTTGGTCAAAGACATCTAAGAGATTCACAAGGGGTTCCTTCTTGATCGGTCAAAGGCTTATTGCTGCTCCACGATGTATACTGTACCTAGAACCCAATTGACCCTGTTTTGATAGGAAAAGACTATATTTTGGGTGATTGGTGGTCCAAAATAGAGGTCATTCAATGATTCAAGATGCTAGGTATAATCAAAGGAAGTTTAGTGTACGAAACTTCCGTGTTACGGACATTCAAGAACTGTTCATACACCACTCATCATACACCACTCATCATACACCACTCATCATA